CAAGTAAAAGCTTGGAATGGTCTATTCTTTCATTGGGGTGTGTCTGTGAGCCAGACTAGTTTCCGAGAATTCCCCTCCTCATCAGTGATCCTGTGAATGTAAAACACTTAAATATACCATTTCGATTTGTGATACCTCTCTACCAAAAAAGGCTTGGTTTGGTCTGAAGTTTCATTGGTGGTAGTGTTCAGGGTCACTGATGAGGAGTGGAATTCTCCGAAACTAGTCTGGATCACAGACACACCCCCAATGAAAGAATAGACCATTCCAAGTTTTCACTTGTTGTTAAACAAATGTTTAAACAACTCTATTCAAGTGTAACCTTCTGTCCGATAAAACCTGTAGTGAACAGTGTAACCTTTTGTCCTATAAAATCTGTAGTAAGGACTGTAGCCTTCTGAATTATAAAACGTTCAGTAAAGACTGTAGTATTCTGTAGTAAGGATTGTAGCCTTGTGTATTATAAAATTTGTAGTAAAGACTGTAGTCTTCTGTATTATAAAATCTGTAGTAAGGATTGTGGTCTTCTGTATTATAAAATTTGTGGTAAGGATTGTGGTCTTCTGTATTATAAAATTTGTAGTAAGGATTGTGGTCTTCTGTATTATAAAATTTGTAGTAAGGATTGTAGCTTTGTTTAAAATCGCTACTACATGGCTAAATGTTTGATGACGTTAATGTTTTGAGACATGGTTCGAAGTATCTGAAACGTTTGATAAATGATTTACTTGTTAATGTATAAACTTATATAGTTTGTATATTACGCTAATAGGTGGCAGCACATTTCGTCAGATTAATACCATGTTGCATTGACTATAATTAACCTTTTATGATTAACATGATTATTATATAGGCTTATCAAAATATATCACATTTACTGAAGCCTCAAGTTTTAAATATTTTACAAGGGTTAAGACTTGTATATTTTACTGAAAAAATACTTGATGAAAGTTACATACTGTGTTATTTCACCTCATCTGTTAACAACATGTCTCTCTGATCCTTGTTTGTTTGAAATTAAACACAGAGCTATACAATGGGCTATCTGTGCTCTGCCCACCACGGGTATCGAAACCCAGTTTCTAGCGTTGTAAGTCCGCAGACATACTGCTGTCCCCCGATCCTTCATTTCTATTTAATACTTTAAATTTCTTTCTATTATATTTCATAATATTCACGGATATTAATCAACATTAATGCTGGTAAGATCTGCCAAAATAACAGTTGTTTTCCCCTATTGAATCATGTATTTAGTTTCATTAGTATGTTCAGCTAAAGGTGAGATTTTTGTATCATATTTTTAACATTTCTTTTATGCTAATTTATTCTATTTTTTAAATTTATTTTAGTTTGTCTGGTATAAATATTCCCAACATTCACGTGTTATGTTATAAATATCAGTTTTTTTCCATTAGATCAATTTTTGTCTTTAGCTATATTAACAATTTGACTATGGCTGACCTAGTTTATCGGCCTATATATCAGAAAGATATTTTGTTCTTGTTTGCTAAATTGTTTCATTATTTGACAAGATAGACCAGGTATAAATGGTAATACAGTATCTTATTTGTTATTTTTTCAATAAGTCCTTTTAACTTAATATTTTTATTCTTATTTTATAAAACGTCTTGACAGCTCTTTCAATAACATCAGGGTTAAAACC